AAAAATGGGCGCACTGAGATGGCTGCGTGAGCAGGTGGCGTTGTCATGGCAAAATCAGTCTTCCGTCTTCCAAAACCAGCCCTTTTTTGTCACACACTGTTATGCAATCTTTCCATAACCTGTAAATAGAAAGCTTGATTAACAGTCTGACTTGGTGGAAAAATGCACTATCCAAATGCACTATCGACACTCACATCCCATCCAGTTTTGGGGGGTTACCCCCTCATGGGTGCATTTTTAACTCTGGTTTGATAAGTGAAATTACATTTGGTTGGAATTTGGATATAAATACATATATCATATTCTTTTCAAGGCACCAACAACCAAGGTTTCAGAGCTAAACCCTAATGCAAAAGTATGGGGGAATCATATGCTACATTTGGAAGCAAGTACTACAACTGATGGCAGTGTGAATAAAACTTGGGAAGAAATATCTGACCATCCTCCAGACTTCTGCAAAGAGGGTAAGTTTTGAAAAGGATTCACTTGTCTTTGGTTCAATTTAAATCCACCTTTAAGAAGTTGTTAAATGCAAATAGTGCCACTTGGGGCTTGAGCAACTGCTTGTGGATACCAAAAGTTTGACAAAAGCCCAGCACTAAACTAAGAGCAGAATTTCAGTAATGTCTTTTACATAGCAAGCCAGAAAAACTTTCATTCTAAAACCAAAGCAAAGTTAGCACAGACTTAGAAAGATAAACGCTGTGAATGGTGACATTTGGAGAGTAAAGACTTTGCAGATATGCAAAAGGAACTTTTACACTTCTCAGAGGCTTTTCCCTTGAGCCTCTGCAGAAACAACTGTGCCTCAGCAGCACGAAGAAAAGAGCAGTAAACGGTGATGAGGGTACAAGATTAATGGCTCAGTTGTAATAAAGTGATGATACATCAAGTTCCCAAGGAAAAAAAGACCAATAAATGTAATGTTTTATATAGTTTTATTTTTTAAAATCTTTAACGTAAAGGCATGGGCACATTTGAAAACACTGCATACATAGATCATTCCTATATCTAGGAGCATGAAATGTCAGAAGTCAACAAAATGTGATCAACTAAAAGTGCTGAAACAGAAGGCACTTGACAAAATCTGTTCATTGAAACCATTACTATGCCGTAGTTTACATCCTTCATGTGTGGCATGAATGTCTGAGTAGGTTTGAAAATCACATAGAAATGCAGTTTCGTGGTAGTAAATGTAAAATACACATAAGGGAGGAGCCCTTGGCAATACTTTGTTTTTCATGACCTGAAGTCTACTTATTCTACTGAACTCTCTTTTCCTAAGAGGAAAAAAGAGACGGAATCAAAATTGGAAAAAAACAATTGAAATTCCAGAAATTATCAGGGGTGTGTGAGGGGTAGCATTGAACTACTTTTGTCCCTGAAGTACTTAGCCTTTTGTTATTAAAGCTTAAGTTTTGTGAATCAGTAAACTGAAAAAGTGTTACATTCATTATTTTAGATACTTAAGGTATTTAGAAGTATAAAATGTAACACTATTAGGTAGATGACAGTCCCAAGTTCCCATGGAATCTAATAATTTAATATCTGCACATTAAACAGACTATTTATTATGTAATTAAAGTTGTGGTTTTCAGCTTTGGTAGAGAAAAGCCATAAGAGAGGAAATGCTGCAAGGAAAGAAAAAGGAAAGATGGTTTTCACATATGGGTAACATAAACGATCTTAAATACTATCAAACCAAATTACATTATGTTTCCTGTGAAAGTTGTGGTTTATTTAAGAGAGTGAACTTGCCAGTAAAATATTTTGTTCAGATACGTGGGTCCAAATATTTTCTTTGATTTGCTAAATAAGCTACTATTTTGCAAAAAGTAGGAAATAGACCTAAATTAATAAATTTGCTCATATTCTCTGCTTCTACCAAAAAAGAGAAGTAATTAGAAATTTGTCATGATTTATGACATTACAAAAGGGGTAAGCAAATACAAGTATAAGTTTGTTTTTTCTTTTTAAAGAAAAGTGTTCTGACTTTGCATAAAATGTCTAATTATAGGGTTGGATGGCAATGGTGATGGTGACAAGAGTCATGAGAATGCAGCATTACCAGATTTACAGGAGTCAGACCAAATAGATATGAACACTTTGGCTCTGGATCACTCAGAATATGAATCTCTGCCTGAAAATAGTGAAATTGGTAAGGCTATTTTATGGATTTATTTTCATATAGATTATGGATTTTATTTTACTTTTGTTGATACAATTCAGGAACACTATGACTAAACAACATGCCTCCTAGTTGACTTCCTGGTGCTTTAAACTCACTCTTAACGTGGTTGCGAAGGTGAGAAGAAGTGGAGATGGAACCCTTGAAGCTCTGGTCAGGGAGGATGTTATAAATAATGTAAGACTTGAGTCGTTCCTGCATTGCACGAATATTGAACTAAGAGAAGCTGAAAACTATATGTAGGTGAATTTTGCCTTCTTAGAGATGGAAATGATAGTCTTATAATTGAGAGTAAGGTAGTTTGAGTAAAGTGAAAGATTCAAAAGAGCATTAATATAAGAGTAGATGAGACTAGTTGAGGTCAACCTTGAGAGTCTTGGGAGCTTGTAAGTATTTTGAAATATCCACTTAGGGAGTAAATGACTTGACAAAAGTAAGATATTTGGGAAAAATAACTTTTAAGGTATTTGGGAAAGAGTGGCTTAGAGGAAAAGAAATCTTAGAACAGCTAAAAGAAGAAACTCCATTGATCATCATTCTCCCCATCCCTCCATGTTCTTCTCCTTTGGGGTCTCTAGTCATACCTACCAGTACTAGGCCACCTGACTGCACCATTCACTGATTCTCTGACCATCTTGTTCAGCTGTGTGTGTTGTGTTTAAATACTTTTACTCTAGTACAGTGATTCTCAGTCTGTGGGTCGTGACCCCTTTGGGGGTCAAACAACCCTTTCACAGGGGTCATCTGATTCATAACAATAGCAAAATTACAGTTAAGAAGTAGCAACAAAAGTAATTTTATGGGTGGGAGGTCACCACAACATGAGGGACTGTATTAAAGGGTCGCAACATTAGGAAGGTTTAGAACCACTGCTCTGGTTAAATAAAGTATTAGCCATTTTTACACGGCTAATTCCTGCCATTCAGAGATAGTAATTACAGCTAACATGCTGTGCAACCATTAGCAGTTCCTTATTCAAAAGTTTTTGTATTATACCAAACACAAACTTAGCACCCCATAAGCAATACTCTTCATTTCTTCCTCCTCCAAGCCCCTGGTGACCACCAATAAATTCTTAGCTCTTGGAATTTGCCTGTTCTAAAGAATTCGTAGAGTGGAGTGTATATTTGCTCTTTTGTGTTTGACTTGTTTCATGTAGCATAATGTTTTTAAAATTCATCTATGTAATAGTGTATATCAGAATTTCTCTTCATGGCTGAACAATATACCATTGTATGTATTACCACATTTTTTTTCTATTCAGCTTTTTTTCAATTCTTGTTTTTTTGTTTTTGGAAAGCTTTAAGCTCACTAGTCTTTTATACTGTCTAGTTCATTCAGTCATCTGTGTTCTTAATTTTACGGTTTTATTTTTGTGCAGTGCTATTTGAGTCTTATTTTTCATGACTATATCTAATTTTCTAATATATGCAATGCAATTATTGTAATTGTTTTAATGCCCTCATTAGTTAATTTTAACACCCTTTGTCAGCTCTTAGTTCATTTCTGTTTGCTGAAATTTCTCTTCAAAATTATTCTATTTTCTTGCTTTTCATGCATGGTGATTTTTTATTTGATTGAATTTTAGTTTGTTGGGTGCTTAGTATTTTTGTATTTGAATAAATATTTTGATCTTTGTTTTTGGAATATGGCTAAGTTACTTGAAAACAATATGGGTCTTTCAAATCCTGCTTTTAAATTTTTTGGTTTTGGGGGTTTTTTTGCTTTTGCTTTTAAGTTTTTAAGGCATGATTGAAGTAGCACTCGGTCTAGGACTAGTTATTCCCCACCACTAAGGTCAAACCTTTACCCTTCTCTGTATTCTACCCAATGTGCCCAGCACTCTGTGAATCATATTTCCCCGTCTAAACTGGTGGGAATAGACAATGTTTCCAGTCCTGTGTGAGTGATGTATAAATACTGTTGCCGCTAAGTCTTTCTGGTGCTTCTCCCCCTCCTGCCCCTCGCCTTGGGTTAGTTTTATGTATTCAGTTGACACCTTGATGGGGAAATCCCCCACAGCAATCCAGATTATCACCTCTCTGCATTCTTTGTTCTATACCCCCTACACCTTGATCTTTCTCGGTCTCTTAAGAAAATCCATGTGTTCCTCCTGTGTTCCCACCCTTTGCACGAGCTTTTCCTGTGGAATTAAGCTGAGGCATTCATAAGGCATAATCATAAGTTTCGTCTCCCTCAGGGACCACTGTTCTTTGATTTATTTTGTAACTCCCATCTTGGCTGGAAGCAGATGATCTCATATCTTAGTTAACTGTGAAAACGAAGCCCTCAGAAGAGAAGTTCTTCACCCTGGCACCACTAGATCTAGCAGGATGTGCCAGCGAATCCTTCTACTCTGCATTGTACCCTGTCCTTTGTTACATTCTCACGGTCTTTGTCTGACTTCCCCTGTATCTATTGTATCATGATTTTTTTTTGCTTCCATATATCATTGCTAATGTTTATTATGCAATTTTTTTATCATCTCTCACCTTAGATGAAACTGCGCTTAACAGCATATCTTCCTCCAGCAAAACTCTTCCAAAAGAGTTATCTGTTTTTACTTTGTCCATTTCCTCACCTCCCATTCTTTCCTGAGTCCAGTCCAGGGACCTGTTTTCTTCATCTGTCATTGAAAACTGTTTGTCAGTCCCAGCTTACCTGATCTTTCTTAGCATTTTTGTAGTTGCTGATTTCCTCCCCTGTGGAACTTTCTCTCTTGGCTTCATGACTTCACATTCTACTGGCTATCTTCTCATCTCTCAGTTTTCTTCGTGCTCTTTCTTCTTAATGTCAGAGTGTCTCAAAGTTCAATCCTAGGTTTCTTTTCTACCTATACATTCTTAGAGATTTTATCTAATGTCATTGCATTAAATACTACCTGTGCCTTGAATAGCCTTGCTAGTGTAGTGGTTACGAATTGGGCTTTGATCTGCAGTTTGAAAACACCAGCCACTTCAAGAGAGAAAGATGGGGCTTTTTACTCCTGGAAGTAGTTACGGTCTCAGAAACTTAACAGGGGCAGTTCTACCCTGTCCTATAGGGCCACTATGAGTCAGCTTTGACTCAATGGCAATGAGTTTGTTTTTAGTTTGGTACCTTGAAGGAACCCTACTAGTACTGCTGGTAAGTAATTGGACTGCTAACCTCAAGGCTTGCGGTTCAGACCTACCAGCCACTCCACCCACTAGAAAACTGAAGCTGTCTACTCCCATAAAGATTACAGCTTCAGAAACCCTATCTAGATTTGCTATGAATTGGACTCAACACAATGGCGGTGTTGGTTGGCACCTTGAAAAGTCTAAATTATTTTATGTAGTATTAATGTCTTAATAGTTCTATTCCTTGTCTTAATAGTTCTATTCCTTTACATCTTGTGGCTGTCACACAGACTTTCAACATGGAACTAGATAGTTCTAAAATGTGAATACGTTCTATAGTTCCTTACCCTCAGCCATGAATGGTTTCTTACTCCATTTAGGTTAATATTCTAGTATCTTTACTGTAGCCTGCAAGGACCTACGTGATCTAACCACTGTCACCATTCTCTTCCCTTCCATCTCTATGCCCTCATTTCTTACTGCTTACTCTTCAGTCACTCTTAGCTGTATTGCCCTCCGTATTGTTTCTTGATCTCAGCTTAAATGGTACCTCCTAAGCAAGACTTTCTCTGACCATCCTTTCTAAAACCCACCATGATTCTATTCCCTTATTTTAGTTTGTGTCCATTTCTGGCATTTATTTATTTAACTCAGTTGTTTCCCCTTCTAAAATGTTGGCCTCATGGGAGCAGAGAATTTGCTTTATTTAGGCTGAATTAACAGTTTCTGCTGAGTAAATCGGGAGAAGGATGGGCTTTCTACTCCTGTACATAATTAGTGTCTGAAACTCACAGGGGCAGTTCTACCCCGTTCTGCAGGATCACTGTGAGTCTGCATCTACTTGATGGCGGTGAGCTTGACTGAGTAAATCTGTTAAATACTCGGTGGGATGTCCTTTGTTACATTGTCATGGTCTTTGTCTGTCTTCCCCTGTGAGAAGTGATTAGGAGAGAGTTCTTTCTGAAAGAAGGAATAAAGTTAGGTTATATTGTTGCTGTTTTTTAAACTGTGGACACTTTATTGAGATTGAATTCGTACCATGCAATTTTCACCTCTTTAAAGTTTACAGTTTAGTTTATTAGGTTTTTAGTATATTCACAAAAGTGTATAAACATTATCATGGTTTTATACTTTTTTCATCGTCCTCTCTAAAGAAATATCTTATATGCTAGCATTCATTTTTATTCTTATCCACCCCACCCCCTAGTTAAGCACCCACTAATCTAATTTCATTCTCTGTGGATTCTGAGCACTTCATATAAATAAAATCACAGTATGTGACCTTTTGTGTCTGGCATCTTACACTCATCGTACTGTTTTCACATTTCATCTATGTTGTCCCATCTATGTTCACTAATGTTGTCATTTTATATAGTCCAGCGGTACTCTACTTGAGTCCTGGGTGGGACAAGTGGTTAACACACTTGGTTGCTAATTGAAAGATTGGAGATTTAAGTCTACCCAGAAGAAAGGCTTGGCAGTGTACAATGAGCTTCAGAAAGTTAATGGGAAAATTAATTAGTAGATGCATTTTTCCATGAGCTTTTTGAAGCGCCTTTGTACTTAAATCAATCAGCCCTTGAAAATCTCTGTAGTGACACACATGGGGTCAGCTTATGTCTGAACGACTTCTTGGCAGCTGGCTTTTACTATGCCACTGGATGGTTATGTTGCATTTGATTTATTTATTAATCATCTGAAGGGCATTGATGGACTTTTTGACTCTTAAGACGATTTGTGTACATTTTTATATAAATTGATTATTTTGTTTTTATTTGTATTTTCTATAAAAATTGACACAGCAGTTTAGGCTCCCAGTCAATAATTTCTACACAAATTGTTCAGTGTTATTGTTATTTGGGAAGGAGGGGGCCTGAGAGGGCTAACCTCAACTCCAGTTCACTTTATTAGAAATCACCGTGTCCACTGTACGTTGTTACACATGAGTCGTATGCATCTCATAGTGACATATAAATCATTGAGGCCTTCATCTACCATACCAGTAACATGAGCTTTTGTTTCCCTGGAGGATCTGATTTATTTAGTCCTCTCCAGTAAAAGCTGTATTTGACAACTTCTCATTTGTTGCTTTTACTACTAGAGAATTAAAAGCAAGTATCATACTCTCCTATAGAAACTGTATAAAGGGGCTTTGAAATGCCCATGGAAAAATGGAATGAAAAGATAATATTTTGAAGCTCCCTTGAATAAGTTTGTATAGCATTGGCCTTTGTGATCCCAATTCTGTTTTGTTTTGTGTTTACCTTTCTGTGCCATTTCTTTCCTTTTGATTTTGGATATTTCATTATTTCACTAATGTCTATTCTTATAGGCTTCCTGAAAATTCTTTGTGATACGACGCAAGACATTTAATAAGCTTATTAAATTCTGAGATTAAAAAGTTCTTCTAAATTTTACTAATAAAACTTGCTTTGCAGATAATATTTATAAACTTTGTTGGGTATGTGTGTAAGAGAGATTGTGTTTTAGAATTATGTACTGGGATTTCCCTTATGTAGTAGGTAAAATAATATTTTTCTTATACTCTACGCACTTATGTAACTGTATTAATATATATGTATGTGTTTGCTGATACATCTACCTAATGCATTTTAAGCCTTTTTCCCCCGAGTTGACCATTGTTCTTATATAGGAGGAAATGAGTCTCAACCAGAAAGCCAAGAAGAAGACCCTCGTGAAGTGCTTAAAAAAACATTGGAATTCTGCTTGTCTAGGTAAGAACGATAGTGGATTTTCTAGTGCCTGTGGTGCTTGCCCTGGTTGTTACATATAAATGTGACTTTTTCCATGGAATTAAGGTTTTTTTGGGTTTTTTTCTTGTTTGTTTGTTTGTTT